TGTTCCTCGTCAAGCTAAGGAAGATATCCTAGATAGAGGACTCTTCAAAGTGTACATACAGGCGAACCCAGAAACTGGGGTGAGGGAGTTTGTCCCTTAAAACTACATCCAAAATTATAATTGGTTATACGATAAGAAGTACCTGGCCGCCTGCGGCCTTAGCGAAGAGATGCCGAGAGGTAGAGGACCGACTGTTTAGCATGTCTTGATAGATTTGATTTAATTTTGTGTCTAACCATCTGATTAATTTTTTGCAGGTAAAGCAATGGAAAAGATCTCGGCCTCCAAAAAGATAGTTGCCCAACTCCGCGCAGCCTTTCTTAGAAAACGGTCTACAGAGGAGTCGCCTGCCAAACAGGCACCCAGGGTGAGCTTCTTTACTTGACACAATTTCCCTTCTTTTAATTGTGCAATCACTTTTTGTCGCCTGTTATTGATTCATTGTCTTATTGCAGAGCGACACTGTCAGACCCTCCTCATCAGCTCAGCCGGACCCCAAACGTCAAAAACAGACGGTTGAGGAAGTGCCGACTCCTGGCAATGCCAGGAAACGGTCGGCTGGAAGGCAGGGTAGGACTCTCCAAAGTGGGGTGAGGACTCCAGCCACCCCCAGGAGCAGCTGGCCCCCAAGGGAAAAGGAGGTGGCCAATTAAACAACCGACTTCTCTAATTCCAAGCTGCTTGCTGTCTATTTTTATGCCTCGCACTTAATCAGTTCTCTTTGTAGACGCCCCTCAAGAGCTGAACTTGGTCTGGATGGCCAAGGCCATGCTGAAGGCCATCCCTACTAAGGACAGGAACTCTGTTAAGGGAGTCGGCACCTAGTACGATTGTTTTCTGGCCGGCTGTAGTCTATGTTGCGAGTATATGGTCTCCGCAAGCCCATCACCGAGAAAAACAACGAGGTAAAAGCTGCGAAGGCCATGGCCACCTCTGATTCTGATAAAACTATGTTCCAGATAGCTCTAAACTAGATTCTGACAACTGACATATTGTATTACCAGGCGAACGCCACTTTGTAGGTGAAGAAAGATTTAGAGGCGGCCAGGAAAAAGATCCTGGAGCTGGAGAAGTCCGTGAAGGACCTCAAGGCTGATCTCGGTCCTCTCAAGGATGCGGACAAAGAGGCGGAGGGACTCCGCAACCGGGTGAACAAGCTCAAGGGTCACCTGCTGAATCAAGAGGCTGACCTCACCTAGAAACTTAACCAAAAAGCTGAAGAAGAGAAGATGGCCATAGTCCAGGACATGATGGAGGACACAAACGCCATCATGAAGATGACTTGGGCGGCCCTCTTCCCGGATACCAGCTACGAAAAGTGGGGGATCCAGTTCACCGTTTATACTGACCAATACAACAAGAAGATCATGGGGCAGACAGGCGGCGACGAGGAAGCGGAGTGTGATGAGGAGGCGTCCGACTCTGTTTCCGGGGAGTTGAAACACGGGGAGGAGGAGGAGGAGAAGTAGAAGGCGGACGGTGATTTGGAGCCGCCGTAGGAGGAGGCCAATGCCATCACAGGACAGGTGCCAATTGATGATCAAAATCAAGCGACGACCAACACTGAAGATCCTTCTCCAGCTACTTAAATTCAATTTTTAATGTCAACTTTTTCGGCCAGCGTGCCGTTTGTTTTGTATCTTTACGTGACCAAGGGGTCAGGGTTCATATACAATTATTAACTTAAATTTTTTTAGTCGGTCATCTGACCGTTTGTTTATTTTAATCATTCGGCTATTTATGCCGTTTTTCAAATTTTGGAGTTTTAGAATTTTGCATATTTTGCTATGTGTTGGTAGCTTGCTTCTTGCTTTCATGAATGCATTATATACCGACTGTTCTTGCCCCTAGGCGACTGGCGCCTGGTTTTTAAAGGTGAGTTGATTGACTTAGAATTTTTGATACTTTGTCAGTATTACTAATTCTAGGTCAATCAATCACTATGGTGATTGCCCCAAACCAGGCGGCAAGCGGCCATCACCAGGCGAACACCTAGCATATTGACAAGCACTCTTTAGGGCGTGCTTTAGAGCATATTTTAGGATGATTTTGGATGTATTTGGGGCCGTTTTGGCCGATTATTACCTTGGTATGCTTACAACCCCTATATAACGTGCTTCACGGGTTTTCGGTTTGTTTTTGATGTATTTTCAGGTAATATCAACCGATTTTAGTCGGATCCCGAGCCCTTGATGCGTAACCGAGCTAGCCTTGACCGAAGTCCGAGGAGTTAAGGAAGTTCAAGTGCCGTGCATTGATTACATAGCACAGGCAGCACGATCGTGTTACCATAGGCACACCCGTGCTGGCCTATGAGCAAGCAGCCCCAGGCAAGGCAGCACGGACGTGCAAGCCAATAGCACGGCCTTTACAGTATCCACGCACCAGCACGGCCGTGCAGGCCATTAGCACGGCCGTGCCAAATGTTGCCTGTGCCCGTATCAGCTACAGCATATTCAGCACGGCCATGTCATATTTAGCACGGCCGTGCCAGGAAGCTGCACGACCGTGCCATATATATCACGGCCGTGCCAAATTGAAGAAGAAATCTGGTTTAGCTACTGACAAGCTAACACGGCCGTGCCATATGTAGCACGGCCGTGCTGATCCAGGGTTAACCGCGCACTTGACTTCTCCGAATTAGATGGCGTATATAAGGCCTGACTTTAAGGGGCGTTTTTAGACAGTTTTAGAGATAGTTTTTGAGAGCCTTTGTAGAGAGCTATTGGAGAACGTTCTTAGTATTAGAGATTCATCAGTTTTCTTAAAGATTATTCTAGTGATTTTAGTTTTCTTGGATTGATTTGAAGCAAGATTTGTGAAGATTCTTTGTATTATCCATTGACGACGGATATCAAAGTTCTAAACTTTTCCATTGATTCGCATCAATACAATTGGTATTATTCATTCTTGTTTATTAATCTAGCTTTATTATTCCTTAATCAGAATTTATGTTTAGATCTATGATGTTTATGGAATCTATTATTGCTGTGATTATGAATAAGTGTGAGTAGTTTCCTAGCTAGGGTTTCGGGATGAAACCCGGCCTAGGTAATCTACGCAATTAAGGTTTGATTTTGATAAACGGATTGTGATTAAATTGATTATATGCGATTGCATGTTAATTCACTATAATAGGAGTAGCTAACCTAGAATCTTGAATTTGATTGCATGTTATTCTTGGTTTGAACAAGAGATTGTGAATTGAGTATTTCATTATTGAATGTGGTTTGATTATGTATCAAGTAATGTTGAGTGCATGAGAAATCCAAGCTTAGTATTGCTCCTTGTCTTCCTATCGCACGATATTGATCAGACATATAGTCTTTGCATATCCCGTTTGTCTCTATGATTCCTTGTTGCGTAGTTACCGATGGTTTGGTGAATTCCCGTTCTCCCTAGTGTCTTCGTTTATTGATTTATTCCATCTTTTTAGTAGTATTTTAGAACACCATTTTCCATTGATTTCGAACTAGCTTAGGTTTAAGATTGATTTGCAATTACTCTCGTTCCTCGTGGACCGAACCTTTATTTGCCATTGTACTTGGTTATAAGGTGTTCGTATAAGTATTGTTTGATTGAGAGTTAGATTGTAGCGACCGATTTAACCCTTGTCAAAATGGCGCCGTTGCCGGGGAACGGTGTTTGTTAATTGCTTTTTGATTTCTTGAGTCTAGTTCTTAAAACACAAAAATACAAAAAGATTTTTCTTTTTGGCTACACTTGTAGCCTTGCTATTTGACTGGTTTGTTTAGTGTGTATGCGCAGGTCTAAACAGGGAGAGTTAATACCCTTCGATCCCGAAATCGAAAGGACTTTGAAGAGCAATCGTAAATCTCGATCGACGTCATCAAACTCTCAAGGAAAGGAACACAACACACAACAGGTTCCAATGACAGACATACCGCGCCAACCTAATCGGCCAGCACCACGACCCCTTAAGGAGTTGGGAACTCCTAGGGCGTATAGAGCTTCAAGTGGGACTTCTCCACCCACTACTAAGGCCAATGATTTCGAGATTCGGCCGGCTATGATCACCCTCATCGAGAGAAGGCAGTTTAGTGGTGCCAAGCATGAGAGCCCTTTGGCTCATTTGAACGAATTTGAGAAGTACTGCAATACCATCAAGGTTAATGGGGTGAATCAAGATTTCGTGAGATTAAAGCTTTTCCCTTTTTCACTTATTGGGAGAGCTCTCGAATGGTTAGAGAAGGAGGTGAAATCGAACTCTCTACACACTTGGGATGATGTCACGACAACATTCTTGAGAAGATTTTATTCCCAAAAGAAGACGGCCGATGCTAGAGCTTTGATCCAGGGATTTCGGCAAAGGAGTGGGGAGTCAATCTACGAAGCATGGGAAAGGTACAAGGTGTACCAAAGAGAGTGCCCACACCACGGAATCCCAACATACCAAGTTCTACAGATTTTCTATGGAGGACTGAGTCCTCAAGGGAAGACCAGTTTGGATGCGGGAGCAGGTGGCCCCATTATGAACAAAACCAAAGAAGAAGTCATTGATATCATAGAAGATGTGGTACGACACCACATGGACTGGCAAGATGGAGAGCGAGAGGCCACAGGCAAGAGTTGAGGAGCGGTCTATTCGTTAGACCATCTTAATGCAATCGGGAATTTGACATCGCAAATCGCAAATTTAGGTAAGGAAATGTCAATTATCAAAGAGAAGCTCGATGCTCCACCGCATCAAAATCTTCCATCCCATTCTAAGGGAGCAGGTATGCACTCTAACTCTAATAATATGCCTACTGGATGTATATTCTGTGAAAACTGTGGGTCTTATGACCATGATTAGGGGTGTACAAAAACTGAATCGGACCTGAAACCGGACCTGAACCGACCTGATCCGGGCCGGACCTGACCCGGACCTGTTGATTCAGGTCCGGTCCCGGTCCTTAAAAATCAAGGTTCCCGGTTCCGGTCCGGACCCGGTCTAAACCCGGGGTTTTCAGGTCCGGACCTGAAACCCGGAAAAATTATATTTTTTTTAAAAAAAAATAATAAATAAATCAAAAATCAAATTAACGCTGCTTGCTGCTTTGCTTGAGTGACAAACTGACGATTCTGTTCTCTTTCATTTCTAACCCTAAGTCCCTAACGTTATCTCCAAGACTCCAATCTCCAAGCTCCCTGGCTGTCTCCCCCTCTCCCTCACTCTCACTATCTCTCAGCCAGTCAGCCCAACGCCCACCGCCGACAGTGACACCTCCCTGCCTTCCTCACTCTCTCAGGCGAAGCCCAGGCGCCCACCGCATGAGACAGCTGCCGCGCGATTCTCCATTTCTCCGGTAAGTTATTTTTTTTTTAATGTAAATCTAAATTATCTAATTATGTTTGGGTATTTTGTATTCGAAATAATGAATTAAGTGTTAGAATTTATATGTTTATTCATGTTTCAATTGCTTGTAATGATTGTTTGATGTTTGCATGTTGAATTTCTTTTTTTTAGTTCATTTGTTTCGAATTTATGTTTTTTTTTTTGTTTTCTTGAGTTTAGGGTTTACGGTTTTAGGGTTTAGGGGTTAGAATTGATAAGAAGTATGGTTTATTTTCGAATTTTTTTCGAATTTATGTTTTTTTTTTGGTTTTTTTTGAGTTTAGGGTTTAGGGTTTAGAATTGATAACAAGTATGGTTTGTCTTCGAATTTATGTTTTTTTTTTGGTTTTTTTGAGTTTAGGGTTCAGGTTTTAGAATTGATCACACTATCACAGATTCACAGCCTTTGAATCTCTGTTTAGGCCAAATTTGTGTAATATTTTTGTATTGAAGATGGTTCAAGCGCTACTTTGCACACAAAATTGGCTTAGAGCTAAGGAAGTGCCAATTGTTGATGTGGAAGAAAATTTTAAAGAGTTAGAGGAAATAGAGAAAGGTAGTAATAATTTTATGTACTTGAAATTTTGTTACACCAAATTTATTATTTCATTGTTATCAATCATTAATATATTCTATATTGTATTTTATTTAGAGGTGCAACGTGGTGAATCTAACGATGTAGACGATGAAGTTGTTTTCGTGGACTCATTAGTGTGAATCACGCGATCAAAGGGAAAACAACTCGTTGGAGAATTTATGTATTTCTAGTACTTGAGACTTTGAGAGTTGAGACTTAAGAGAATTTATGTAATGTTATGAGTTTTCGTGGACTTATTTGTATTTTCGGTGGATTCAATTGTATTTTTGGTGTTTGAGAATCGGGACTTTATAGACTTTATTTAGTTTTGTGATTGATAATTTTGGTTTGTATGTAATTATTAAATTATGCAACAGGTCTAAAAATCACAAAATAGGTCCATATGCAGGTCCAATAGGTTTTTTATTAAAAAAAACGAAAAAAACACAAAACAGGTCCATTCAGGTCTAAACCTGGACCGGACCTGATTTTTCAGGTCTGGCCCGGAACCGGACCTGTTAATTCAGGTCCGGTCCCCAGTCCTCATAATTAACCAATTCAGGTCTCCGGTCCAAACAGGTCCGGTCCGGTTTTGGACCGGTGTACACCCCTAACCATGATACCTCTGCCTGCAACGTACATTCCCAATTTCAATCTAACTATAATGATGGTAATGAGTGTGATAATGAACAAGTCAATGCCTTGTCTTATGATAATAGACCTAGGAATGACAATAACAGATATTTACCACCTAATCAAAGAGGGAACAATTATAATCAACAGGGTAATAATTCTGACTACCAACAACAAAACCAGTGGGGAAACAGGAATCAAAGGGACCAAAATCCCCAAGGGTCCTATAATCAACATGGTAATTTTGGTAATCAGAATAATTACCAACAAAATGCAGGTAATCAAGGTAATCAAGGGCAGTACAATCAGAACATGAATGCCAATAACCGGGGAAACTGGAATAACAATGGTAACAGGAACAACTTCCAAAATCAAAATCCCCAACAGTCTAATGCGCGTGGTTCCCCAGCCTCTAATGACAAATACAATGCTCAAGGACCATCGCAAAGGACTAGTTTGGAGGAGATGATGGAAGCACAGACCAAAATGTTCAACACTTTCATGGCCACCAGTGACAAAAAGTTTAATGAAGTGATGACACATAATAAAATTCTTGAAACCCATATTTCTCAGTTGGCTAGTGCTATAAAGGATGGTGTTGGAGTGTCGAAACTCCCACCTCAAGGTATTGACCCTAAAAACTCTGTAAATGCTATCACCACTAGGAGTGGAAAGACATTGAGGGGGAGCGATGAAGTAGTACCACCTAGGAGTCAATCTGTGACTACACCTACCACTGATACTGTTATAGAGAGTGAGGAGGAGAGGACCGGAGAGAATGATAAAACTGTTGAGGTCCTAAAAGAAAAGGAAGTAACACAAGTAAAAGGACCTAATCTATTGCAAAAACTTCCTTACCCCTTTAAGTTTGTGAGACATAAGTTGGATGTTCAATTTGGTAAGTTTTTAGAGACTTTGAAGCAAATTCACCTTTCCATACCATTCACCGACGCTATAAAACAAATGCCTAACTATGCTAGGTTTTTGAAAGATATTTTGAGTGGTAGGAGGAAATGTGATGGGGTGGAAACTGTTAACCTCACCGCGAATTGTAGTGCAATCATCATGAACAAGATGCCTCCCAAATTGGGAGACCCAGGTAATTTCTCAATCCCTTGTGCTATTAATAAAATGAAAATTGATAATGCATTATGCGATCTTAGGGCTAGTGTTAGTCTTATGCCATATTCTGTATATCAAAGATTAGGGGTTGGAGAACTTCTTCCTACCAACATTACCCTACAGTTAGCTGATCGTTCGATCAAATTTCCTAAGGGTATGGTAGAAGATGTTCCCCTACGGGTTGGGAAATTTGTAATACCTGTGGATTTTGTAGTTTTGGAAATGGATGAAGATAATCATATACCTATTATTCTTGGGCAACCTTTCCTAGCTACCTCTGGTGCTCTCATTGATGTGAAGAGTGCCAAGATTTCTTTAAAGGTAGGAGAGGAGGTCCTTGAATTTGATCTGAACAAAAGCATGCAATATCCTTTGTCTACTTCCGAAAACTGCATGATTATTGACACTATTGATTTGATTGTCTCTAGTATGCATACACTATTGCTTTCTACTAACCATGATCTTAAGCCAAGTGATACCGATGAGAGCAAGTACATAGAGGAGCAAATGCTAGAGGAAGATGATGGTGATGACGGTTTCAAAGAAATTACACCCATGTATGCACTTGCTATGGCCACCACAAAAGAGGTAAATGAGGCCCCTAAGGTAGAATTGAAACTTCTACCATCACATCTAAGGTACAAATTTCTTGGTCCTAATTCAACTTATCCTGTCATTGTGAATTCTTCTTTAGATGCGGATCAAACTCGGAAGTTGTGTGATGTATTGAGAGAGCATCAAAGTGCCATAGGCTATACCATTGATAACCTCAAGGGTATTAGCCCCGCTATATGTATGCATCACATAACTCTCGAGGATGGTGCGAGGCCTTCTATTGAGAGGCAGAGGAAACTCAACCCTCAAATGAGGGAGGTGGTGAAGAATGAGATCACCAAACTACTTGATGCAGGTATCATCTTCCCCATTTCAAGCTCTAGATGGGTTTCCCCTGTGCATGTTGTCCCTAAGAAGGGGGGAATGACTGTAGTTGAGAATGAGAATGGTGAGCTCATCTCAACTAGAACGGTGACCAGTTGGCGGATGTGCATAGACTATAGACGTTTAAACGCATCTACCAAAAAGGACCATTTTCCCCTCCCTTTTATTGATCAAATGCTCAAAAGACTAACTAGGCACAAGTATTATTGCTTTCTTGACGGTTATTCGGGGTTTTTCCAAATACCTATAAACCCGGATGACCAAGAGAAGACGACTTTTACTTGTCCATATGGTACTTTTGCCTACAGGAGAATGCCTTTTGGACTTTTCAATGCACCGGGCACCTTTCAACGGTGTATGATGAGCATTTTTGGGGACATGTTAGAGGCCGAGATGGAGGTTTTCATGGACGATTTTTCTATTGGAGGAGCGTCCTTTGATGATTGCCTAGTGAACTTGGGGAAGTGCCTACAACGGTGTGAGAAGGTGAATTTAGTCCTCAACTGGGAGAAGTGTCACTTCATGGTTGAAGAAGGTATTGTCCTCGGTCACAAGATCTCAAATTCCGGTATAGAGGTGGACAAAGCAAAGGTTGAAGTTATAGAAAAGCTACCACCACCGGTCAATGAAAAAGGGGTGAGACAATTCCTAGGGCATGCGGGGTTCTACCGACGATTCATAAAAGATTTCTCTCTTATAGCCAAGCCTTTGAATGCCTTATTGCAAAAGGAAGTTGACTTCAAGTTTGATGAAGAGTGCCTACAAGCTTTTAACACACTTAAGAAAGCTTTGATTTCAGCACTGATTGTGCAAGGACCACGGTGGGATCTACCTTTTGAGTTGATGTGCGATGCTAGTGATACGGCTATTGGAGGTGTTCTTGGGAAACGAGTTGAGAAGAGGCTTCACGTGATCTATTACATGTCCAAGACCTTAAATGAAGCACAAAGGAACTACACCACCACAGAGAAAGAGTTCCTAGCCATTGTTCATGCATTTGAGAAATTTTGGGACTACCTCATTGGTTCCAAAACGATTGTCTACACCGACCATGCAGCCATCAAGTACCTAATTTCGAAGAAGGAATCCAAACCATGCCTCCTCCGATGGGTCTTCTCTTTACAACAATTTCATGTGGAGATCCGGGACAAGAAGGGAGCCGAGAATGTGGTTGCGGATCATCTTTCGCGCATGGAGAGAGAGCAACAAGAAGATGATGGGCTGCCTATTTGTGATGAGTTGAAGGATGATGTGTTATACCTCCTCAAGGAGAAGATTCTACCATGGTTTGCGGATATCGTAAACTACTTGGCCTGTGAGGAGTTTCCCCCCGATTACACCAAGAACCAACGGAAGAAGATTAGGAGAGATGCAAGGCATTACATATGGGATGATCCAATTTTGTTCAAGAGAGGTGTAGATGGTCTCCTAAGAAGGTGCGTTCCGGAGGAAGAAGTTCATAGTGTGCTGAAAATGTGCCACTCCAACCCTTGCGGAGGTCACATGGGGGCTAATAAAATGGCCCAAAAGGTTTTGCAATGTGGGCTATGGTGGCCCCATATCTTTAGGGACGCGTGGGAATTTGTGAAGACTTGCGATGCTTGCCAACGAAGTGGAAACATTTCCAAGAAGAATGAAATGCCTCAACAACCCATGCTTGAACTTGAGATCTTTGATGTGTGGGGCATAGACTTCATGGGACCCTTCCCTTCCTCTCGTGGGAACCAATACATACTTGTGGCTGTGGATTACGTGTCTAAGTGGGTGGAAGCAATTGCCTCCCCAACAAATGATCACAAGGTGGTAGTGAAACTCTTCAAGAAGATTATATTTCCAAGGTTCGGGGTTCCTAGGGCGGTTATAAGTGACAACGGGTCACACTTTGTGCATGGGGCCTTCCAAAGGATGCTTCGAAAGAATGGAGTACATCAAAGGTTTGGGACAACCTATCACCCTCAATCTAGTGGGCAAGCGGAAGTCTCCAATCGACATATAAAGTCCATCCTTGAGAAGAGAGTGGCGAAGAATAGAATAGATTGGTCCGATAAGCTTGATGATGCACTTTGGGCATACCGGACTGCTTTCAAGACCCCAATAGGCACCACCCCATACCGCTTGGTCTACGGGAAAGCATGTCACCTCCCGGTCGAACTAGAGTACCGCGCTCAATGGGCTATCAAGAAGATAAATTTTGATCTAGCAAGCACGGGAGAGCAACGGATGTTGGACCTTCATGAGTTAGAGGAGCTTCGGATGGACGCATATGACAGTGCGAACCTATACAAGTCCCGATCAAAGGAGTTCCATGACCGGAAGATAGAGCGGAAGGTGTTCAGTGTTGGTGACAAAGTCCTCTTGTATAACTCCAGGATGAAGCTCTTCCCCGGTAAGTTGATGTCAAGATGGAGGGGTCCTTTCACTGTCAAAGACGTTTTCCCTTCCGGTGCGGTTGAGCTTTATGATTCTAGTGGGTTGCAATCCTTCGTGGTTAATGGGCAAAGGTTGAAGACATACAATGAGGGAAGCCATGTTGGTGTGATAGATGTGTTCAAATGTTGTCACGAGAGTTGACTGTGACCACGTCAAGCTATCGACGTTAAACTTAGCGCTTCCGGGAGGCAAC